TGGTAAGATTAGTCAATAGTTCCTTGACAAATTCCAAGAAGACATTACATAATACATATGGTACTTCCTGCCTGGTGATCTCACTCCAATATTTAGCAAATCATCACGCCAATTAAATCGAACTGGTCTGCATCCTGCATATGAGAAATCATGTAAACGGTATTGTAGCCATGACACTGTGTCCTGACAATAATGGTTTGGGTCCCGATACACAAAGCGTTCGTAACGTTACGACCTGTCGTAACTACATAGTATATCATAGTCTTATATCAGCGGTTGATGTTATGTGCAACACATAAGTGACATAGATGGAAAATGTGCAACGACAGTGACCTTGAAGACGTATCTGACGTAAGGCGTCTACGTATGAAGTGCTGGGGGTCATGTAGGCAGGTCATCAAGGCCATAGGCTGGTCATCATAGATGACTGATTAATTGTGACACGTCCCCATATGCACTTGTGTCATAGTTCATACAGATAATTCTGATCTACGTGTATTGCACACATCTGACTGTTTGCCAAGCTGTAAAAACGCTTTTGGGCGAACTATCGTTACCCCTCCATGAGAATGATCCTGGCTACATTTGATGACAATGCACTGAACCTGATCAAGCGTACGCGCGAACAGTATTTCGGTCATATCATGGAGTTTTATCAGGCTGGGCAACAACAAATGCCATCTTTAATCACTTCCTGGTGTGACGTCATGGTCGGTGGTCTCACCAGCTACCGCTAACCTTCCGCTCTCCAGCCACGAGACCAGGCAAGCTGATTCATCAATGGTAGTTTATATTTGAATGATTATCATATGATCAAGAATAGCAAGACACTGTTACACATGCATATTACTCATACGTGCTACTTGTTGTGACGCACGTAAGTATCAAGGAAGTGCCATGAAGAGTTGGCTGATATACCTGGATGCTACATATACCTGTACATATTAAATATAATGTATGTTTCTATGTCTCTAGGTCATTTGATTGGCTAACCAAGCAAACGTTTGTTATGTTTCCATAAACTCTCTGTCTCTCTCTCTCTGTCTGTGTGTGTGTGTGTGTGTGTGTGTGTGTGTGTGAACTGACATTTTTAAAAATTATGGAGTTATGAACATAAATAACACTCACGCCGAAATATGAAGAGTCATATAATCCCATTGTAAAACTTCGTGTATGTTAGTTCAGAATCTGAATATACATTTATGAATTGTGACCGTGCGAAAGCCTTAAGAATGTAGGAAGCAATCAATTTAATGAAACTTGCAAGTCACTTCCGCCTCTTACATGACAGCAAGCAGTTATGAAGTGACGTAACTGAACACGGCAACAAGAAATGCCAAACAGTGTGTATAACGGATGTTTCTTTCACAATTCCGAGTGTATTAGTTTATGGAGTGTAACTCTTGTAAATTGGTTGGCGATAAGTACCACCCTTATGACAATTGCTTGTGTATCAGGAAGGGTGATCTTTTCTTTATTACACAATGTGATATACTCTATATCACATCACTTCTCCAAACTAAACGTTGTCGGTACACGGAATCTGGGTGTGGTTGAAGGGATGTGGGCTTGTGTATCTCAAATTGGAAAGTCATAGTAACAGTCTGTGGGAATAACTGAAATATATGTTTAAATTTGAAATTCATTATCACCGAGAAGAAAATCGACCAGCAGAAATACAATTTTAGGGTAAACGTCGTTATTGTATATTGTAGATCTCGGAAGACACTTTGTAATTTTCTCATTTTATGCCTGAATAGTTTCAGGTTGAAGGATCACTTATAAATTTACGTATTTCTTTATATTTCTCTTCTCTTCATCATTAAAATTCAGTGCTTCATTTATCAGGAGATTCGTTTAATTATTCGTCATGCGAAGTTGGCAAGATATTGTGTTCTTATATGTTAATGATCATTTCAGTTATATTGTTACCCCGATACATCGGTGTATCACATCATATGTTTTATGTGACCACAATATATCCCCACTGAATATAGCGACTTAGTGTCAGGTGCAGACATTGTGGACATTCAATTCCCATTCCTGCTGCGTTCTCCTTTCAAGTATTACGGTACACTCCCTACACCTTTAAAGACTAACGTTTAGTCTCTGAATATATATGGCTTTGATGATACCAACAATTCCCATTAAACTGAAAAATTCAGATCTTGAACCTGATGAAACATAGACTTGATTCATTTCGGGCTTAAGCATTGCAGAAAGGGTTTGGCAGAAGGGAAAATAATGCGGTTCAGGGACTCTGAGACAGTCTAGGAAGTTTACTGTATCCCGACACATGGTTTAAATTTTGTTTCCAACCTTCAGGTAGCATCAATAATTCTTTTTATAGCTTGATACTGAAACCATGAATATATACAGTGTGATTTAAACATTATAATTATGCAATGATCGATAAATCTTTTTTTTTTAAATCAATATGTCGTCGATATTTAAGTGTCGAAAGCATTAAGATATCCTAAAATCGAACATGGATATCTTGATGTCATGATGAAATTTAGATATCAATAAAATAACATGATATAAAAGTGAACAGAATTTACACAAATTAGTATGAAGGCTTCTCCTGTGCGCATAGGGGAGGTGGGGTAGCCTAGTGGTTAAAACTCATGTGCGCATAACTCGATTGTTTAATTGAAAGAACTTCACGAACGATCAAAGGATCGTTTTGTAAGATTCTGAGTAGCCTGGTACAATACGAAGAGCCTGTTTCCTTCCTCGCATGAGTGACGCTACTTCAACTTCGGGTGAATGCTTGCACAGTTAGGTGCAATGATAAACAGCACCATGTGTTGCTCTTGCTGATTGACCTACTGGAGCCGACGCTATGTAAAGGCATTTAGGTCATCATCAAACGATAGGAAGCTTACACAACATGGGCGGATCCAGGAATTTTGAAAGGGGGGTGGGGGTGTGTGTGTTCAGGGGGTTAAAACCGCCAAGGCAAATTTTTTTTTTCAATGTGGTCTTAAGTCAGTGGCGATCCCCCTTGGATCCGCCACTGCACAATTTTAACGTAAACAAAACCTGAAAGAAATTATTCAAAGATTGAGGGTGCGCACCTGTCAGAGAATTTCCTTACATAAATATAACTGATTTTTGACATTTGTTATTCTGCTAAAGGTGATTACTGTTGTTGTTGTTTTGTATTTGTTTAGTTGTTTATTTAAAGCCGCATTCAAAACAAACATTCATCTATGGAGGGTGATGTGTAAACATTCAAGTCTGGATCAGACAATCCTGTGATTGACATCATGAAAGGGAATCAGGCAATGGGATGTATCCCCGAAGTCAGCGACCACGTTGGCACGTTTAACTCAAAAGTATAGGAGACTAATTCTAACCCGGATCTTATCGGGAATCGTTTGGTTCATATCCTCACGTAACACATTTCAAGTGATATCAACAAAATAAACGGCTTCCCCCGTATCCGTAATTCGTGACACGCATCCGTGGTTACGGTTGCACTCGTCTCCCACGCGCATCATCAGAGGTGCAAAATGATGTCATTCATTAATTTGTTTATAATGACCAGCAATATTATTTTTATTTGGCTCTGTGTAAATGGTCCGGATCTCTGGCCCATGAAGATCCGCATCACAGTCAAGATGAGTATTAGTTGGATCGATAAAAAAATACCAGCGCCGTGAGCATGCACTAGTTGCGAGGATATGTGCGCTATATAAATATCCTATAATAGAATAATAACACGGCGAACTGGGAGATGCAAACCACCGCATCACCCTAACTGAGCAGATAATTGCTCATGATGCCATTCACTGGCCCAGGCTTCATGATTCAAAAATTGCCGACACATGGCAATGTGAGGCTAGGATTAGACTAAGGCTTAGTCTCTGAATATATATAATTTTGATAGTAACAAACAAGCCCATTTATATTGAAAAGGAGCCCTAGGGAGACCAGAGATTCAGAACCTGAGGAAATCTAGACTTGCTTTATTTAGGGCTTTAGCACTGCAGACAGGGCTTGGCAGTAGGGAAATTAATGTGGTTCAGGGACTGTGAGACAGACTAGGCTAGGATCATCAGTGAGAGTTACAAATACATACATCACAGCATTTCAGTGAACACTAAAACAAACTGAAACACACGTGCTAGAATTATCAAAATGTTCAAACCCAGGCCCCCCATAACCTCAACATCAATCTGTTAAGACCTTCAGTAGTGCTCTGGTCTGCTTCGTCGGCGAAACCAAATATCTAACCCCGCTCCGGAATCTCAATAAAACGTTATCTGTGTCAGTAGGGTGCGAGTCGGTAACATATTCCGCCTCCAGCCATCGCTTTGAAACCATCGGATGAACGGCAGATAATCACCTTATATTTGTTCTCGCCAGAGGACATGCCTCTGGCATGAGCTCGAGAAACAATCCGGTCAGCATATCCCAATCCTGAATAATGGATACGGGTTTTTAAGAAAAGAATTATACGGAGGGGTCGTTGTTATAAAGCTGGGCACAATTCTTTATTTACAATCTCAACACCCGCCACCCTCCTTGACGTGTCAGTAGTCAGTACACCACCTTTTTGTGTCTACTTTCTTTCCTTCTAACATCTTCTCGTCTTTGTTCTATCTTACTTTGACCTAACCCCAACAGAACCCTAAGAATGCATTTGATGATCAGACTACAGCTACTGCCTTGACCCCTGGCTTCTGGTATTTAAGTACCCGGCTGTCATGTTTCAAAGGTGTATATTTTCGCTATTACAAGCGTGACACTCAGTACACATTCTTGTACACAATACACAGTTAATGTGCCGATTAGTCATGTCATATTACTAGCTTAAATGCTTAAACACCTTTATAATATTGTTAAAAAATATATATATACATATATAAAAATTACTTGATATACATTCATTCTCCTATAAAATTTCAAAAGTTCAAAATTCAAGTAAACGTTGCACTTTGTTCATCAACCCGCCTCTACAAATAGTAAAACATGTTTCATTCATGACTTACCGGTTTGGGATAGAGATACGACGGTAGCAGTTGCTGAGTGTCGAAAAATATCGTAGACACTGCCTCAAACACGTAGAACGCAATAAAGAGGGTGTCAAGAGAGCGTCTTAGACCCGCCATTGTGCTACTGGAATGGTAAGTAGAAGACAGGAATCAACCGTTTCGGAAGGCGGCTACCGTCTGAATGTTCTTATCCGTGGCTGTGAACAGTGTGACCTCTCACACTGACGTAATCGCTGCTGTGTGCACGCAAGCTGTGTTTGACAGCGGATCTGCCGATGCTCTCGCCTTGAATGTCGTAGGGAGCTGGCGAATGACTGGCCTGACCAAAGCTTCAAGTGGTGCGTCCCTAATATGCAGTGAATGGAGATTTGCTGCCATGTGAGGCGAGATGAACTCTCAGCAGCGCCGCGCTGTTTGGTCGGACTGTTTACATACAAAAGGCGCTTGTCGAGGAAGCGCTGTAACGCTACACGGACATGGTAATGCTGATATCCATGGCTGATGGGTGTGTTGATATCGGAAATATTGCATCACAGACCATATTTCTTATATGGTATCTGGTTATACGGTCATTTTATCATGAACGCACTATCATGTTAAGGGATTTATGGCTCTTGGGTTGGGGGAGGAATTTGCCCTAAAATCTTGTTTAACTTAAATTGCCACTCTCAAATAGAGCAAACAAGTGAAATGTCGACCCCAAGATTTCATGTACAAAATCAATGAACCTCCCTTCCTCGCCTCCTTTCTCCATCCAGAAAAAAATGCTTGGACAGTATGTGAAATCAAAAGGCTCTAAATCCACCCGATTGTGCACCGTATGCTAGACAGCGAGACCGCTATCACGCGCGACTAACACCCAGTTTATGAAATGAACATTTTTACAGAAACATTGGTTGTACATTTATGTTAATAAAATACAGTCAAGATAGTATGTGTAGTCAAGAGACTATCTTGAGAATCTTTGGTAATATAGACTTGCCATACATTTTAAGTTAGCATGGGATGCATTGTGTATTTTTTCAGAGTCTGTATGGCAGCAATATTACTAAAAGTACTTTATCACGCCAACTTCACGAGAATTCTGTTTTAACAGAGGCGAATACAGATAAGGACAAACGTTATGGATGAAGAAATTCTTTCTTCAAGTGATGCAACATTTTGATACAGATTCTTGTATCGTTGTCAAGCAAGTAAAGCAATGATACAAGAATCTGTATCGAGACTTCGCATCACCTGAATAAAGAAGTTGTTCATCCATAAACTTTGTCCTTATCTGACCATGAAGCCTCTGAAAATGCCACTCAAAGAAGAGCTGAATACAGTAAAGCAGTGTGCGAAATACCCACTGGCCCGCTAGCCCATGGCTAGTAAATATCCAGTCGGGCCAGTAAATCTCCACAGGCATAACTAGCCCGACTGGCTAGCAAAATTTGGAGACTATTTCGTTCACCGCAGTAAAGTAGGGTTAAGTGAAGGATGTTAAGAAATTTTTTAAGTTAATGTGTTTGTTTTATTTTGAATGGTATGACCTTGACGTGACTAGAATAATATCTTGATATTAAGAACGAAGGACATTTTATGGATGTGTGTGACTGTACATTAGATGATAATTACTAACCTCTCTCGAAAATCACATGAACAGGTGAATCAAAGTGTAAACCTAAAATTATCGTTGAAATTAAAAGGGCACTACTTGCTAACCACGTACAGTGGTTCTAATGGCACTTCAATGAAAATATTTACTGAATATAAATATCTGGGTGCACTTTGTAATAATGCAATAACTGTGTAAATCACGCATCAGCTCAAGGAAGATATTACTTAAATACTGTTATGGCTCCGACGGTACTGCTGATGTAGTTGCTGATGTAACAGCAGTCCATGACGCTGATGACAACCGCTGACGTACAGATACTGTTAGGGCATCATATATTTTTATGTGTTTCACGTAGCCACCAAATTCTGAACATGGGTCGATCGGGGAAAAAAACCCTCATAAAGACAAAATTATCCGAATAATGTTCTTGCGGTACGTTTTAGGTTCAAGTCGGCGGTGTTGGAATGAAAAAAAAGGTTTTTAGGGGAGGTCGGCAATAAAATTTGAAGGGTTGGTCTGGCGATGAGAAACACAAAAAATAAAAATGCTGCCCTTATGTCCACTACAGGTGGTGTTGATATGCAAACCGTTTTGTTTTCAAATTGAGATTACTTTAGGCAGATAAATAGTGGTGGTCGTGTGCTCGGACCAGGCTAGTCTGTCTCACAGTCCCTGAACCACAATAGTGTCCCTACTACTTAGCTCTCCCTACAGATGTAAAATGCCCTAAATGCAGCAAGTCTGGATTACCCCAGGTTCAATCTCCATCTCACCGGTGCTCCTTTTCAATTTAGATGGGATTATGTGTTACTGTCAAAATTCCATATATGCAGAGACTAAGTGTTACGCAAGGGTCAGACCAAATTGCTGTAATTAAAGCTGCTAAACTGAGGTTGGATTTGCTGCTAATTCGTAGCTATTTAACGCCGCCCTCATCTACTGGCTGCTGGTACATTGAATCTCACCTTCGTGTAGTTCGACACTAATGTGTTGCCATCCACAGCAACTGGAGTGCGAATGGTGGTATGAATGTACGGAGGCCGAGAAGGGACATCGCTTTGTCGTCTCCAGTAAACTATTACAGCTAATCTGAACATATTTTACAGAAAAGAACTGTTCATAAAAACATCATAAAATATAATGAAAAGGAACCTAGACACTCTCTTCATTTTCAGAACTGTGGGACTTGCTACATAGTCTAGACTTGCATGGGTTGTCTTGGTAGACAGTACGTCTCCAGTAGTCTGTCTCACAGTCCCTGAACCACATTATTGTCCCTACTGCCCAACCCTTCCTGCAATGCTAAAGCCCTAAATGAAGCAAGTCAGATTCCCTCAGGTTCTAATGTCCCATCTGACTGGGGCTCCTTTTCAATTTAAATGTGTTGTTTATTACTATCAAAATTATATATATTAAGAGACTATATAAGCGTTCGTCTAACACACATGAAGAGGCCCAGGTTCAGAATCCCATGTCTCCCTGGGGCTCCTTTTCAATTTAAATGGGTTTGTTTTGACTTTTTCAAATTATTTATGCAGTTAAGACACTGAAAGCACCGCATCATAAATATACCGACATCCCCTTTTTAATAATCGATGGTACGGCCGTGAAGTTTGTTGTCGGGTGGACTTCGTACCTCTAGTAAACTATTCAATGAAGTAGTACGCGGCCTCTGTGTCCAGTTTTCAGCTGAACTGTCTCACGGTATCTGAACCACATTATTTCCTTTTCTGCTCAGCCTTTCTGCAATGCTGAAACTCTTAATGAAGCAAGTCTACATTTCCCCAGAAAATATCCTGTCGTAATGGAGTTCCTTGTCAGTTTAAGGAATTATTTGTTTTATGAAAATGATAGATACATGTATTCAGAGACTAATTATAAGCGTTAGTCTATGTACTACCGAGTTGATGGGTGACAGAGAGTTCATGCCAGCAGACATGGGCTATTAAAATCTAGCAAATGAGACCAGCAGGACAATCTGTCAACACATGCAGCTACTGTTGAAATATACAGTGGACAGATGCAGGGGCTGTTTCAACTGACAGTATAAATGTGGGTCACGACGGAGGTCAGATAAATTTGTTTGTTTTATGATTTATGAAAATAAGGTAATCGTCCAGACCAGTCAGGATTGCTGAAGCAGGCATTCCCAGCATTGACCCAATTGCGCAGATCGATGCTCATGCTGTTGATCACTGGATTGTCAGACTCGATTATTTACAGACCACCGCCTTATAGCTGGAATATTGGTGAGTGCGGCGTAAAACTAAACTCACTCACTCACTTTGGCGAATTCAGACTGTCAGGACGTGTTGCACGACGAATTGCTTCAGAAGTACGTTACGCAAATACTAGCTCGTAAACCAGGATTCTTTTGGATTCCACTGGATACTGGGCAGATATTCATTGGTTGCTACTAATGTTCTATCCGGTTCTAGGATTAGGCATACACGTTGACAGAACTAGATATACCCTTATTCATAGTCTGCCATACAGACCCTGAAACAAATAACCCCAGTGTAGCCCATGACAGTCTAGTATGTGTGACAAGTCTAGATCACCAGTTTTAGGAAAAAGAAGAAAGTCTCTTTGCTACTTTTATTATATTTTATTAATATAGAATACACAATGCCATTTTAGAAAGTGATCAAATGTAACATATGTTATATTTGGGATTACACTTTCTTCGTAATGTACAGATTCTAGTACGTTTTTCGGTAGAGTCCCATCCGGGATTCGAACCTACATCCTCAGAGTCAGGCACCTAATCGCCAGCACACAAAGTCAGACGCCTACACCGCTCAGCCACCGAATCCCGGATGGGAATCTACCCCAAAAAAGTACTAGAATCTGTACTTTACTAAGAAAGTGTAATCCCAAATATAACATATGTTTTATTAATATAATTTAAAGACTGTGCTTCCTGTATAATATGTTCATTTCAGAAACAATATTACTCAACCTCACTCGCACACACAGTTGACGTGAGGATGAACCTTGTTTCGCTTACTATCACATTTCAGGTTGTTTTCCGGCTTCGCCGAATGTTCTCATGTTGGCTGGCATCAGACCAAAACAACACTGACATTTGTCCCGGAGATGCCCGGGTCGGTGTGACGGAAGGTCACAGATGCAATCACAAGTTACTGGGGTATTATGACACAAGACTTCACAACAAAGCACGGTAAAACTGATACCGCTGACTCACAGTACATGCTTTACTAGTCCCTGATCCGCATTATTTACCCAACTGCATAAGCCTCCTGCAATGGTAATACCCTAACAGAAGTAAGTCTAATTTCGTAAGGTCTGAAGCAGCGTCCTTTTTTATCGGGATTATTTGTTATTATCAAAATTCTATATAATATATTATTCAGAGACTAGGCGTTAGTCTACTGACTCACGATACAGCTTCTATGCTTTACTAGTCTGTCTCACAGTGCCCGAACCACACTATTTTCCCTTCTGCCTAATATTCCGGCAATGCAAGGAATCCTTTTCAATTCAATTCAAGCGTTAGTCTAATGCTTTTATTTTACATACGGGTTTTGAACATGCCCACCAAACGGAGGATAGCCTGGAAACTCGAGCCTGATACAGATCTCTGATTTGTCTGTGTGGTAGCCTTGCTCCAAGGCTGTACTGAAGGCTAAGCCCATGTATGATTCTATCCATTAAAGAGGCAAGTCTAGATAAGCGGACCTCTAAGGACGCCAGTATATTAGAGGGATGTTTATAGTTGTTAGAGATTATTATTTAAAACTATTAAT